TATATATATATGCTGGCATCCGGCATAAAATGCATGCCTAATGCATACATATGAACAGTTGCTTCGCTGTAGTGACCCCTAATGGGAAAGGCCGAAAGTAGTAGTAGTGCAATATATCTACATAATATGTATATACAATCATGGCCAAGAATATGAGCTCCCCCGCATCTCTGTCAGATAACTCACCACTTCTCCCAGAAAACTGCTGCAATCACAAATTATTTGGTATTCTCATGTTTCTTTTGTTTGCACTGGTACAAGAAAAAAGATGAATCTGATCCATTCCACACAGAACTCCAAAAATGGACTGGAAGAATTATTGACACCCTCAACTTAATATTTGGTAGCCCACCCTTTGGACAAAATAACTGAAATCAATCACTTTCTGTAATCATCAGTGAGTTTCTTCCACCTTTCTACTGGAACTTGGGACCACTCTTCTTCTGCCAACTGCTCCAGGTCTCAAATTTGAAGGGTTCCTTCTTCCAGCTGCTGTTTGAGATCTCTCCACAGCTGCTCTATGGGATTTAGATCTGGAGTCATTGCTGGCCACTTCAGAACTCTCCAGCACATTGTCTGAAACCATTTCTGGTGTATGTCTGTGTGTCAGCAGTGGGTCCCCCTGGGTCTCCTACCATAGCGTCTCTTGTCATTCAGATGGTGACAGATAGTGCAAATGGACACTGATGCACCCTGGTCCTGCAGGTCAGCTGGAATTTGTTTCGATGTTGATCGAGGCTCTTTATCCACTAAACAATCCTTCGTTACGATGTGTCATCTGTTTTTCTCTTTTGTCCACATCCAGGGAGATTGGCTACAGCTCCAATGGGCTGTAAACCTCTTGACAATGTTGTGCACAGTGGACACGGGAACAGCCAGATCAAGCCAGAAGGAGCTTGTGTCAGGTCTTCGCTGTTAATACTTAAACATCAAGGAAAAATACAATATCTTAAAAAGTCAGCTTTTGAAAAACCAGCTTGTCTTCAAATTGACATGACTTTTTATTTTTAGTAAAACCTTTGAAATAATTCCAGAGTGACATTTTAGACAAATTAGGATCCTTCTAAATAAAAAAACAAGTTTGCATCTATAAGATGGTCTAAAATTCAAATGTTTTGTATAATTAAAAATGCTGCTGTTCATCATGATAGATTAGAAATCCTCGGCATTTCCGCCTGTGGAGTGGCTGATGGAGGATGTTAACTGACGTCTTCATGTTTGGCCTTCTGTGTGGAACTTGGCTCTGAGCTGGGACGTGACTTGTTGGACTTCTTGAATGTGGCCAGCTGAGCTTTGTAATCTTTAATCTGAGTCTTCAGTGCAAACAGCTCCTTACGCAGTTCATTGATTTCAGTAATCAGGGTCACATTCTCCTACAAAGATGACAGTCGTGGTTAAAATGCCATTCCTTCAGCAAGGCTTTGCTCAGACCTTCACCACAAAAATAACACTGCTTTAGTTTTGCCATGCTGTAGAGAGTCTAGAAACTATATGCAGTCAGCTTGGAGTTTTTTTCAGTGTTTTTAGAAAACCGAGACCTGAATCTTGAATGAACTGCAGTGAAAAAGTTCTGCAGATTTCCAATCTGTGTTATTTACCTTCATGATTCTGACATAGACTTTCTCATGTTCCTCAGCTGACTTGGCCAGCTTCATCTTGAGACTATTAACAGTCCTCTCCAGGTGATCACGCTGGCGACAGAACACCCTCTGAATATCTTCGTCTACACTGCTTTTCTCCACCTTGAAAACATCACACATACATTGGCTCCGATCATTCCTGTGCTTTTTACAGTGGGTATAAGACTAGAAGAATTCCCCCTGCCCAGGTCTAAAGGCAGCTACTGTGTGAAGCACTCACCTCTTTGGTCTGCGGTACGTAGCGGGCATACATCATCTGCACGCTGTCCTTCAGCTTCCTTGGATCCTGGATGAAGCCAGCACAGCTATGAAGGTCTGACTTGAGCCGCTGAAGATATGTCTCCAGATCTTTCGCCTGGCCAAAGAAAAGATGTGAAATGTTTCTATTTTTTAAACTGTATCTTAAAACAATACTGACATGCCCATGCACATATCAAAACAAAATCCATAGCCCCTATTTGTGCATGAATGAATTCTAGTGTAAAGCTTGAGCTTACAAATTCTTTATTGTAAACATAGGCAAAGTGATACAGGTGTTGAGTATGTTTTTTTTTTTAACAAATGTTCAGTTAGATAATTACATTTTGATAAAGATGTGATGAGACAGAACTAAAAAAACTGTTTTAGTGTAAATATTGAACTTCAACAGCGGTTTAGTTTAGAGTGAACATCTGCCACACAGCTGCCTTTCATCTCTATGAGAGGAGGCAGAACAACAGTCTAGTCAACATCTGACAATTTCAAATAAGTTAATGGCTCAAAAGTTATTAGAACTTAAAAGGTAGCATATAGTGATTATATGTGGCTGCTGAATTATAGCAGAGTTAGGTATGTGCTGACTTTTTGCATCTCCTTGTGCATCTCTTTATCTCTGGTCCTCAGTTTGAGCCTCAGCTCAGAGATAATGAGCTTCAGCTGAGTGTTGCTCTTGTCAATCTGCACCAGCTCCTCCTCCAGCTGTCACAGAGCACAAACAGCACATCACTGCTCACACCACAAAGAATGGTTATCCATCATATGAGCATCACATAAACTTTATTTTTGCAATATTAATGAAACCTGAAATGTCTCTAAAGTGCTGGGGCACACCTGATGGATCCTGGCCTTCTTCTCACTGATGTCATCTTGTTGAGGCTCAATCTGCTTCTTCAACTCATTTAAATGGAAATCAAGAACAAACTTCAACTTCTCCAGTTCCTGGTTCTTCTTCTTCAAGCTGGCAATGGTGTTATCCTGCATGAACATGAATGTGTGGAGGGAGTTTAGTGGAAGAGGGTGTGTTTAGTCAGAGTAGACTTTATTATCCTCACAAATCTTAACTCCACTGCAGGATGGAATCTTTAAGCTGAGAACAGGTCATTGCTGGAGTTTCAAGAACACATATTTGATGTATGTTGAAGAACATTCTCACAATACTGAACATAGTGGTCTCTGCTGTTTACCTCTTCTTGTTTAACACAGCTTTAAAGGTGCACTCCACTGATTTTCCACATCAAGTTCAGGTTTCCTATTACAACTGTAAAACAGCTGTGGCATGTCCTGTGTGGCCCCGGAAGAGCCACAACACTGATGATTAACTTGACCTGGTGTTGGTGACTAGACATTTTCAATGGCAAGTCTCTTACAAACTGGGGGCATGGAGTTTGAAAGACAGGCAAGTTTTGGTTGCATTGTGTGCAGTGTAGTATCCAGGGGTTCTAGACTCATACTGATGAGAGGAAGTCAGAGAATATCAGCCCCAGCTGCTTTGAGTCTTTTTTAAAATCTGCGAGTGCTCTGACTTTATGGAAATGCAACATTAAATTACCTTTGAATAAAATAGGAGAGCATCTCCAGGACCAAAACTAAACAACAACTAATTCCAACAATCACAGGCCAACAGTCTGTCTGACATATACCTTACTTAATCTTATTTTGTTGTTTTGCTACATTAAACTTACAGAAAACAAATATCAGTTTTTAGCTACTGCATGCTATATAAGAATGAATGAATGGAAACTGAGTATACTGTACAGCACATCCAGCAAGGAGATACTGTACTGTATGTCATTTTATGACAAGTAAGAAAAACATCTCAGTGTAGATAGTTGAACCAAACCTACACACTTCAAGACTCAGTCATAATCTGAAAAACATTTTTAAAACACAAATGTTACACATAGGAGAAAAGCAAAAGCACATGGCTGTAACTCACACACACACACACACACAAACAAATCTTTGCTAATCTAATTGAATGTGGTTGTCGGTGTAGTGGAACCTGGTGAAAACCTGATCTCAGCCACCTTGTCTTGGCTGGTCTTTTCATGCCCAGCAATCTGCCTCTTCAGGTCCTCAATGTCGCTCTCCAGGGAGCGGATCAAGCCCAGCTGCCCCTGCCGCTCCTTCTCCAGGTTGTTTATATCTGTGCTCTTGTCATTAATCTGCCTCTGCAGACTGTAGAGCTGAAGGAGACAGAAAGATGAGGAAAGAGAACAGGAGGATAGTTTTTCATTCTGCAGATGCAGTCAGAATCAGGGACTGGGAACAACTTATTCAGAAAAAAGCCAAACTGCTGATTAAAAAAAACAACGGTCACCTTTTGTGTCATGATACCAGTTTCTCCCTTGAGATTTGTGTTGGTCTCTTTTTCTGTGTGTAGTTTCTTCTCATACTTGATCTGGATGTCATGGATCATCTTCTCCTCATCCTCCTCTACCTGCTTTACAATCTCCTTAAACTCACGGATCTGCTGCTGTGCATCATCCTGACACTGCATAAAAATAAAAGGAATATTGTGGTTGCAAAATATCCTTTTCAACTTCTCTGATAAACCAGCCACATAAGGGATGACAGTGTTATCCCCTCTTGTTTCTGGTTTCTCCCTGTTGGTGTTGGGCCTCTTCCTTGCTTTGGTGAAGGCCCACTTAGGGTATCCACAAGCCTTAAGGGAGTTCTGGATGTGTAACTTTTCCTTCTTGGCCCCTTCTGCAGTTGTAGGCACTTCCTCTGCCCTGTGATTTAAAGTTCTGATGACTCCCAGTTTGTGTTGCAGCATGTTCTTTCATGAAGAATAATCGGAATCAAATATCAATTTTCAAACATTTATTATCATAACTAAACAGACCATCGAATAAAGCAATTTACAGAGCTCTGGGTTCCATCTCTATCTGAAGGCCTGACCTCAACAGCAAAACCATTCAACCTGTCTTCAGGATGAGAAGGAACGCTGTCCTCCTCCATTCAGTTGTTTTTATACAATTTCAAATGTGCCCTTGTAGGCTGGTCCGGTCCTCTCGTGCTGTTCTATTGGTCCATCTATCCATCCGTCC